TCTTAAGCAGCTGTCTGCAGGAGACAGCGGATAAATGGCCGGCAGCTGAAAAGTGACTGGAACGGTCCGGCTCGGAAAAAGATGCATAATGTGCTCTGTCTGTCCGCTTGATCTATGGAGCTCTCTGCTGCGGCACGGCTCGGGCCAAATGGAGATCTCTGCTGAATAGCGGCCATTTTGAGGATCAATACAGCCTTGGACAGTGAACAGGAAAGTTCATTAAGCATGCAAAGACATGTCACGATGAAGACATCTGAGAACAAATGCTTGTATTGATTAGTGAGGGGGAGAGAAGGGGCGCTGAGGGCCGCCTCCCCCCCCCCCCCCCCAGGCTTCAATGTGGACACAGCTTTTGGGTTTCAGACTTCAGCTGGGAGAGAAAGTAAGGAAGGGTCCTTTAATAAAGTTATAAAGTTTATAAAGTGCCACATACAGCCTTCACATCATACTTCTCCTCTGCAGGATTCTTTATTCACATCGGGATTGTGCTTCAGTTTGTTCCAAAACTTTACTAACAGAGTTTCCACTTAAGGCACGATCGTGTTTTCTTATCTTGACCAAGAAATAAACTGATTATAGAAAAAGAAAAGGGAATTATCATCGTGTCTAAAACCCCAAAAACTTCACACAGGAAGCGACTAAAGCTGAGCTAAAAAAAAAAAAAAGAGTGAAACTGGCCTCAGTAACCTCATGCAATCATGCAAGTAACCAGTGCAGAAGCACAGGAAGTCAAATACACACCCATTCAAAAAAGCCTGTTTTTACAGCAGAGATTAACATGTTTACAGCCTGGTTCAAAAAACCAAACAGGTCTGATTATAACGCTTACGTCTGTGCTCGTTGTGTTTGAGGAGCTGCGAGAAAATCTGCATCTGTCGTGTTTCTGATCGGGCCGCACACTCCTCACACCAATGAAAAGCATTTCTAGCTCCACATTAAAGCAGCAACATTTAGAGCAGTGATGCTCAGCTGGTCGAGCCTCAGCACCAACTCCTGAGGAAAAATCACAACCCAAACTTCTGCTTATTTTCAACCAATCAGATGAGAAGTCGTTCCGATTAAAAAAAAAAAAAAACATGAGACAGAACAAAGAAGGAGCCAAACCGATATTTAAAAGTCGCTTCAAAGACTTTCAGACGCTTTTTTTTTTTTCAGGCACAAATTCACGACCCACTGAAAACGCCTCGCTGTGCCCAAAGTCATGATTTAAAATATGAACCAGACGGGCTGCCATGACCGGCACGGCATGTTTATCATTGCCGTGGAAACACCGGATGTTGGGACACAGGCCGCTGCATAAGGAAGCTGCCAGTTTTGCCCAGTCGTCTTGACTACGGTCAGAGGTCATCTTCATCGGGGTGCCGGTGGATTAGCGAAGAGAATCACTCCCATGATTCCCCCAACCAGCCTCAAAGCCATCTTTTGTTATTGTTTTGATTGAAAGCCCCCTGGTGGTGGGATTTACAAACTGTGTGTTTAAACCCGCCAATGACAGTTCAGGATTTTGGGGTGGCCCAATCAGGTCTCTAGCGTGTCCCTGGCCCATGAAGAGGAATTAGCCGTCAGTCAGAAATCATCAAGAACTTTAATGCACAGACAAACTAATAAAGATAATTCATAAAGATCGGTCAATGTTCACATGACAGGGAGAGAGAGAGAGAGAGAGAGAGGGAGAGAGAGAGAGGATCTGAATCTGACATGCTGCAGGTTTTCCACAGGAAACTAAATGAGGTGGAAATGGAACATAAGGCAGAACTCCTGCAGCATCTTATGGATGCATGCAGATAGACATGAACCCTGTGTTATTATGATGGTAAAAAAAACGAGCATCAGGCCTGAAGAGCTTCTTATAAATCTTATTATCTCATTCTACAGCTGAAACATCACATCCTGGCTCACTTACACATTACAAAAGGCTTTTATTGTGGTAGAATGCGTCGGGTTTATTGTGAAAGTGCGCTCTCCAGCCATCATGTGATGATGTGGTATTATCTGTGATTTAAAGATGGCTGCCGAGGACTGATGAATTAACAGCAGTGTGATCACAGGCGGGGTGATAAAGAGATGGAGGAGATGAAGCTGTTTGTTTGTAATGAGATGCTTTAAAGGAAAAATGAGCATCATGTCTGAGAGCGTCAGCGGCGTGCTGCAGCTTCTTTATCTCTGCACTCCTGTGCTCCTGAAAAACACACATTTTAAATCCTCCTTGTTAGCGAGCGACTGTTTTTAAAGCAGAGGCAAAAAGAAAAGAACAATAAGGTGCTATCAGCTCTGTGCAGCACACGTTTTCAGTGATTTCATACTTCCTGTCTGAGCATCGTTCAGGATTTATTCCCAGTTTATCTTCAGTTCAAATTTGACTCTAAACGTGCACGGTCGCCTGCAGGATGACCGGTTTTTGTTTCTAGAGTCGTACAGGGAGAAGTTCTGCACATGAGAACAGAGCTGTTCAAAACAGGGACATGTTAGTAATTAGACTTTGAATCTTTGAATGTTTGAATCTTTGAATGTTTGAAGAATGAGTGACGCTACCCGTCTGATCCTGCAGGGGGCGCTGGAGTCCCATCGATGGCGGTCTCCATGCTGGAAATGCTGTCTCAGAATAACTCTTATCCTTCATCAAATCAAAATTGATGAGTCATCAAAACATTCACCCCCCCCGTACAGTGTGTGTCGATCGAGACATGAGCTAATCAGACCTGTTTGGTTTTTTGAACCAGGCTGTAAACATGTTGATCTCTGCTGTAAAAACAGGCTTTTAGAATGGGTGTGTATTTGACTTCCTGTGCTTCTGAAGCCAGCCTCTAGTGGACACTCGAGGAACTGCAGGATTTTACACTTCAGCATCGGCTTCATTTTTCAACACTGGAGGTCGCTGCTTGATTTTTATCCTCCTCCTCTGACAGATCATCCTAATGTTTGTGTGTGTGTGTGTGTGTGTGTGTGTGTGTGTGTGTGTGTGTGTGTGTGTGTGTGTGTGTGTGTCTGTGCCTTACATCCTGTCATATAAATGAAGGCACCCTCGCTGTTATCAGCCGGTGATAAATGAAACATATGATCTGAGACGGCAGCCTGTGTGCGTTTATGAAGGCTGTAAATATGTTTAATGCAGAGTGTTATCATATGTCAGAGGAAGAGACGTGGAGTGATGCTCCTCTCACACACACACACCAAACACACACACACACACACACACACACACTACATTCATACATAATGTTTAGTTTGATGTGTGCTTATCTACCAAAGAATGATCTGTTCGGCTTCTCTAGACAAACTGTATTTACATGTGTGTGTGTGCGTGTGTTTGCGTGTGTGTATTTACGTGTGTGTGTGTGTGTGTGTGTGTGTTTGCTTGTACATGTGTGGATTTCTTTAAGTTACAGTTACAAGTCATCAAAGACTCAAACGTGCTCAGAAATCACACATTTTCTCCTGGAGATGCTTTTTCTAGTTTCAAGTAGTTTTTGTGTGTGTGTGCATGCATGTGTTTTAGTGTGTGTGTCTGACTGTGAGTGTATGTGTCTGTGTATTTTAGTTTGTATGTATGACTGTGATTGTGTGTGTGTGTGTGTGTGTGTGTGTGTGTCTGACTGTGAGTAACAACTTCTGTTCGACATGTTAATTCAGAAAAATGAATTTGAGTCGACGTGAAATGAATTACCCCTGGATCATTTTCAGTCGTACGCCAAGATTCACCGCCATCTCATATGTATTTATGTGTGTGTGTGTGAGAGTGTGTGTGCTTGTGTGCGTGTGCATGTGTGTGTGTGTGTGTGTGTGTGCATGAATGAAATCAGTGGTGAAGCTCATTGGTGACTCATTCAGCATGAGAGCAGATAAACTATATTGTCATGTTACTGAACGTGTCTATGTCTCCCCTCATAGCCCCACAGCGCCACCTAATGGCCGGGCGTAACGTCACACTTTGCTGTTTTTAGTGAGTGTTACAAATTGAGCAGCTTCAGGGGTGTAAATGAAGACCAAACACTTGAACACAGAGTGGATTTCAGGAAGATAAAAACATATTTTCTTGGAGTGCCTGCTCATATTGTGAGAGTTCGATACAAACTTCATCATGGACCTGCCTCCCTCCCTCCCTCCCTCTCTCACTCACTCATTCACTCACTCACTCACTCCCTTCCTCACTTTTATGCCTTTATTATACAAATGGAGAGACAGCGTTCCCTTTGTTTGCAGAGAGGAAGAGTTTTTATTTTGAGCTATTCAATCGCAGAGCAAGTTGCTGACTGTTTTCACTTCATTTATTTCTACTGAAAATTATAAATATATTAGAGATAAAAATGCTGAGTCATTGTAGCTGGACATTCACCTGAAAGTAAGTGAAGATGGAAAAGATGGCGTCGTCTGAGTTAACTGAATACGATGTGTGCGCTGCAGGTTCTCAGGGTGCAAAAGGTTTCATTGCACCCACATTTTAAACGTCTGTACCCTCAGACTGTTCACTGCATCCATGACATGACGCTCATCACAGGTGCTCTTGACCTGTCTGTTTCCCGGGGTCCACCTAAACTGTTTTCCATTGTTGCTGCAGCTCCCTGGTGCACCCAGTTGTGATTCTAGGGTCTGTTGGGGCCCCTCCCACCTCCTCTTTCTTTAATCACTCCCACACAGCAATAACGCATGCAATGCTTAGCAGGGCATTGAGAGTGAATGCCTGTCAGATGGGGCTCCCTTAAGGAGGGTTCCTACTGTCATTGCAAAATGTGCAGATTTTGAGGCAATGCTGTGGTTTAAAGTTTGTCAGCAGTTGGGGGGGGGGGGGCCCTACTGGTCTTGGGGCCCCCAGCAGTTGCCTGTTAACAAGCAGCACCTCTGGCTGCACCCCCTAAAATCTCAGTCACTCTTAAGTCATTCAGGTCTGGGAGCGGGCCTGGTGTGTGTGCTGTGAATCTGCAGCAGATGTTCTCGTCTGTGGTTTGCTGCCCCCTTGTGGTCGTTAATCTTCCTACACACTCAATAAAACACATGGAGCAGACTACAGTTTTCATGCACTTCTTTAATATATCAGTTTTTCATATTCACAACAAATACATTAAGCTCTTTTCTCCGTATGATACAGCCTTAAATATTTTTACACGCCAACTGTTTGTCTCATCAAAAAACGCCTCTCTCTCTCTCTCTCTCTCTCGGTCGCTCTCTCGCTCGCTCGGTTCTCAACACTTTATAGTTTGTTACATTTTGTAGTCTCCATGCCTCCTAGCAAACTGACAGGATTTCATCTGTACACATATTTACAACAGGAACAAAAAAACAACAACAAAGGAAACTAAAATCTCTGAAAGTTCTTCATGGTCGAGTGAGGAAGAGGAGGGTGCAGGCAGGGAAGAGGAGGAGACGGGAATGTTACAGAAGAAGAAGGTTGAACAGAATGAAGATGATATCTGTCTGATAAATTAAAGATCTATGAGGAGGATAAATACAGCGCTCTGGAGACTTCATGTCTCTGATGATGATGACGATGATATCGGAGTCCGTGGAGGAGGATGAAGGCCACGTCTTACCTCAACTGAACACCTTAGATTACTCTACTAACTCGCCTTGATATTTTTTTAAGAGCTGTCAAACGATTACATATTTGTTTAGAGATCTCTAACGTTTCAGCTGCACGAGGTCAGTGGAGGTCAACGGATTCAAGCAGCTGCAAGACTTTCATCTCGACTCTAAATCGGTCCTGGAGTGGCGCGGCGCAGAAGCACAAAAAAGGCAGAGCACTCTGGAAAAAAAAAAAAAAACACGTTTGGTGAACACAGGCTCAACCTTTAACGTCCGTTCTCTTTTGTTCTTAAGACAAATTCAGTCTGACGATAAATCTAAATCTGCTTGAGTGTGAATTTAGAAAAAACATTTCTGGACTTTAGCCTCCGAGAGAAAAAAAAGCGTCAAATGATGTCATCAGACCGGATCCTCCTCGCTCTGAGTTTCATTCTTACTCAATTCGTATTGAACTGACGGACGAGCAGCGTATTTACCTCCAAAACTTCAGAGTTTAAATTTCAAAAGGTTTTATCTCAAACACTCGTTTTTAAAACCTCGTCTGAAGCTGGATTTTTAATGATCGTCGTCATCGTGACGGCGGCTGATATGTAGAAGAGTCTCAGTCCGACCCTGACCTTTGAACTGTGCTAACGAGCTGAATGAACACCTTGAGGTCTAGTGAATGATGGAGAGACGAACATGACCCCGATGAAAGACAAAAATCAGACAGTCAGAGTTTGGATGGACGCTGCTGCAGCTGGACGCTCCTGAACGCACCACGATGCGTTCAAGCTCCACAGCAGGCTCCTGAATGCACCACGATACGTGCATGCTCCAGCGTCAGGCTCCTGAATGCACCATGATACGTTCATGCTCTAAGCATCAGAAACTGGAGTTTGGATCGTCAGCTCTGCGTGTCACGATCTATTCCTCCATTTAAAAAAAGAAAAAAAAAAAGGAAAAGGCAAGTCGCTCGTTTGCGTCGATCCATCTCCACAAAGTGCAAGTACACGAGTCCAAAAAGACGAAAACAAGCGTCCAAAGAAAGAGCGAAAATCAAAAGAAGCTCATAAATAAGTCAACATGTGCAGGCCTGCCTGTACAGAAAAAAGGCAAACATCGACGAGAACAGAATTAACCTGGAATCAACACGCCCGGCCCTGAACACGCTGGAATGAAGAGTACCGGAGCACGTGTGTGTGTGTGTGTGTGTGTGTGTGTGTGTGTGTGTGTGTGTGTGTGTGTGTGTGTGTGTGTGAAAACTTAAAGGTGGGAATCGTCCAATCAGCAGGAAACGCTGCAGCCGTCAGTCTGCAGCCGAGACGATGACGTCCCCGATAGAAGCGGAGTGCAAATATTAAAGCCAAAGGAGCGAGAAAGAAAAGTGACACAACATGCACGTGGAGAAGGCGGGTCCTGTACACGCTCCTCGGCTCAGTGTAAACGCTGGACAGCAACGCTAGAACGAACCAATCAGCTTTTATCCTCCAAAAGAAACGCTCCAGACTAAAAAAAACAAACAAACAAAAAAAAAAAAACTCTCCTCCATCTTCCACACGGAGGCTGCGAGAAGGTCGAGAGAGCTCAAACTTTCAGCTGCTGTTCGGCTCAGGTGTGGGATTAAAAAAGGGAAAACGCAGGGTTCGGTCGGCCCGTAAAGACAAAAAAAAAGCGAAGGCTTGTGCTGCAGAAGGAACAGAAAAGCTGGCGGCGAGCAGCAGCTGCTCGCTCCCATCTGTAACATGAGAACAAAGGAAAAAAAAAGAAAATGTCTCGTTCAAGTCGTCCTCCTTCAGGGTGAACTATCCAGCTCCTCTCGGGACCCGGCTAACGCCTGGCCCTCGCTCAAAGTGCCGCTAGCGGCCCCGCGGATGAACCGGCTTCCTCGCACAGGGAGTGACGTCTCCTCCTCCTCGCGCTCCCTCCAGCAGGCAGCAGGCGTCTCCTCCTTAAACTCGTCTGGTGGTGAAATCTTTAGGTCGTGTAGTTTATCTTTCCCGTTGTCTCGTCTGAAGGTCTTTTATTCGGAGTGTTTTTCTAATTCAGTTTTTGGTCAGTGTCTGTTTGTTGGAGGACGGTGGGGTGACACTGCCCCCTTCAGGTGGACAGAGGAAGAAAAAAAAGCACATTCTTTGTTTGTTCAGAAATGGATGAATCCACCGCATGGACACGAGACTTTAGAGAGGTGGAGAGGGACGGACTGAAGAGATCTGCAGATCTTATTTAAACGCTGAAAACTCCCCTGAAGAGAAAAAAACAGAGAGAGAGAGAGAGAGAGAGAGAGAGAGAGAGAGAGAGTTAGGATTCACACTGTGCTGCAGAAAACCATCATGTCCTCAGTGATCGTGGTGGTGAATTAAAACGATGTCTCAGATGTGAACATGAACAAACATCTCACATGTGACTTCGGATTGCTTACATGATTGGATGCTCTTTTGTTCTCGATATTCCAAAAACAAATCAGACTGTCAGGAGAACAGGTACCGTAAAACTTCGAATAAAAGCTCCTCCCATTTTAAGGCCCGGCCCCTTTTACCAGCCGGCTGTTGCTGCAGGCTTTGATAAGATAAAGGCAGCTCTCCTTCAGAGGTCGCTCGGCTTTAAAGTCCAAATCAAAGATTAAAAGCAGCAAGACACAAACATAAAGATGACCTTCAACATCTGTCCAAGAGAGACTGAATGATGGGAGTATATGGACCTACAGTCGTCATGGTAACAGTTGAATACACATACTCCACAAACAACGGGCTGTAGACACTAGCAGACAGGTTATATCACTGAACCTGATCACCGCCCCTCTGCTTGTCAACACATGCGCGCTGTCAATGAGGGGGAGGAGCTACCAGCACAGTGCAGTTACACTCAGATACCTTCGGTGGGCGCCAAAGCACACCGAACCAAATTCCTACCTATTGTTCCTTTAACACCTTTCTTAAATATTTAAGTCTGGACTGGATGGGTAACAACAGATGTAGCTCCTCACAGCAACTGTGAATACAAGCGTGTGTGTGTGTGTGTGTGTGTGTGTGTGTGTGTGTGTGTGTGTGTGTGTGTGTGTGTGTGTGTGTGTGTGTGTGTTGCATCTCACCGTAGCCCCCGGCCTGGATGGGGGTTTTGGGTGAAGCGCAGGCGTACAGGCTGAAGTCCTCGGTCTGAAAGCCGGCTCGGTTTAACGACGGCTCTGAGGCGCTGCGGTGGATTTTGGGTAAGGAGCGAGCCAGCAGCTCGATGGACGCCAAGATCTGACGGACGGACACACACACAGCAGAGAGGTCAACAGTCAGGATTAAACAAAAGCCTGTTCGTAAACCTCTGACGCCCCCTGCTAGTGGAAATGATCAACTCATCCATTTAATTAAACCTGTGAGTTCATGAGACCGAAGGGAAAGTCACAGACAGCAGATTAAATAAACAAACATGTTGTGAAGAGAGACTGTTTTAAATCTGATTCCTAACAGAATATTTTAATGACATCCTCGTCTGCACGGAGACGTTGGTGACTCGATGACATGACGGCGTGCGAGGACTGAAACCTCAAACACTGGAAGCCTCACAGGAGTCACAGACTGACGCTGAACACTGTGTGCATGCTGACTCACAGGTTCCGTCACACATGAAGACCACCTTGTAGAAGGGGGGGGCTCACCTGTGGGAACAGAGGTCTCTCCTCCCTCTTCTTCTTCAGACAGTCGGCCATCAGTCTCTTCATGGCTTTGGGACAGTTGCTGCGCACCTTGCTGAGGTCAGGAGACAGGTAACCCCGCCCCACCATGAAGATGATCTGTGGGAGGAGAAAGAGTATTTCTCTGACTGTGGGGAACACGTGACAGTAACGTGTGTGGGGGGGGGGTCTGACACGTCTGAGGCCGTACCTGGTCTCTGTTGTTGATGTTGGAGTACGGCAGAGCGCCGGACATCAGCTCGTACAGAACGATACCGAAGGCGTAAACGTCCGACTGGAAGCTGTACGGATTCTTATCCTGCAGCCGGATGACCTCGGGAGCCTGACAGACACAGGGCAGGGCACACAAACCGTCTCATCACGACTCTTCTTCATACTTTTTATTTGTTTAGCTCAAAATCAGACGACTCACCATCCACAGAATGGAGCCCGACAGCTGCTCAAACTGGTGCGAGCCGCTCCAGCGAGACTTCACCGTGGCCAGACCGAAGTCTCCGATCTTCACCGTCAGATCCTCGTGGAGGAAAATATCTGAGAGGGCGAAGGTCAAGGCAAACACTCTTCTTCCACTCCTTGTTCTTTGAGGGTTAAAAATGCATAAGAAATAAGATGAATAAGGAGTTCAAGTGCGACAGAAGGATACTGTTGCTCTTCAGGTCTCTGTGGATGATGGATTTGGCGTGCAGGTAACTGAAAGAGAAGAAGAAGAGGACAGGCGTTCAGTGACTCTCTCAGCTTAAAGTGTGACATCATCCTGCAGCATCAGTCAGGATTAACTCACTCCATGCCCTGCGCCGTCTGCCGGGCGATGTCGATCAGCTTGATCATCTCGAACTTGGTCTCGATGATGTGCAGGTGGTGGTACAGGCTGGAGCCCTCGCACCACTGCGTCACGATGGCCAGCTGAGGCTTGGTGGTGTAGCCCATGAACAGCAGGATGTTGACGTGACGTGTTTTCCTGATGCAGACACACACACAGACGGGGGAAGTCAGACCACAGAGCCGCAGGAGCTCAGTGTACAGGTGAAACGCCATATAAAAAGGACGTTAAAGGCGTTACCTGAGGACTCCCACTTCGTTCTTAAAGGCCTGAAGCTGCTGAGGCGTCGGAGCGGTGACGTTCAACATCTTCACTGCAACGTCACCTGAGAGCAGACGGGGGAACATTTCAGACACAGAGCGTCAGAGCTCATCCAGGTTTTCAGTCCGACTAAAAGGATTCACTTCTTACATCAGACGTAAAGGTAACCTCATCACATTTTTATCTTACCGTGCCACTTTCCCTTGTAGACGGTCCCAAAGGATCCAGACCCTATCCTCTGACCCAGAGTGATCTGACCCTCGGGGATCTCCCAGTCGTCGCTCGAGTCCCTCCTCCCCAGAGTTTTCTGATAAACACGACACTCGTCAGCACAAACACGGGCGAGAAAAGAAACCTCGGGAACATATTCGTCATGTCTGAAACATCTCTCACCATCTTATTGCGGTCCTCGGACGAGGACGACGACTTGCGCTCCCTCTGTGGGCATGGCGACTTCTGGGGGACCTTCACACTGGTCAGAGAGCCAGGTAGAGAGGCGGGGGCGTGGCCGACAGCCCCGTGGTCGAGCCTGGAGGAGGAGAGACGGGAAACGATAGAAGACGAGAGGTGAGTGGGAAGAGTACGCCGGAAATAAAGGAGGTGAAAGTGTGTGTGTGTGTGTGTGTGGTCACATGCAGAGGTGAGGTGAGGGGTGTGTTGGATGTCACGATTAATTTAAAAAAGCATTTATTTTATGCTTTTATTTTGTAATCTCCTACTGCCTTAAGCTATCGGGTACTTTACTTCCTGTTGGGATAAAAAGGTAATTTTATTTTGAAATACAAGAAGTGAGTTATCGAAGGTGTGGTTACGGGGAGACGCTGCGCTCAGTGCTGTTGCTCAGCTACGGCGCTCCTTAAGGGACAAACAATCTCACGATAAATGCGACACGTTGTGAGTAAGGCGTTAACCCCGACAGGCAGAATTCTTACAAAGAACGCCTCCTCTGATTGGCTCTGTTGGTCACAAGGTTTTAGTCTCTAGGCCCTTTGAGATGAAGTCTTACGCCCCCTACTGGGTTAGTTGATTTGATGAATCTATTGATTGACTGATTGTCGCATGTTGCTGTTAAATTTAAACTTTAAATAAAACTACGCTCCGAGTCTCGCCAGTCAAACAGAATACACTAGCAGCTCTCTGTCACCAGAAGAGGGCGCTATACGGATTACAACAAGCATCATCACACTGCAAAGTGTCGAGCGGTGATGCACGTTCATGCTCAGTTACTTTCCAGCTCAGTGATCATCCTGTTTTCATTCTAAATCTTTATGAAGTGTTTGATAACTGCGTCTGAAATGAAATGTGTTTCTCTATCTCTACAAATCAAAGATAGATATCGGCTGATATATCGGCATCCGATTTATTTATTTTTATCTCCCCATCACCGATATCAGCCCCACATATTTGTCGGGCCTGCCTGAATAATATTCATATTTTTTTTAAATCAATAATAAAGACATGAAAGCGGCATCCAATGGAAGGCATGTGTCTGATCAGTGGTGACGTCTCTGTGAGGTGTCGGTGTGTTCAGAGAGCAGGTGAGGACATAGAGGGGTAAAGAGAGGTGTGTGTGTGGCGGGGGGGGGGGGCACACAGTGACACAGGGAGGGGTGGGATGTGGGGGTGTGGGTTCAGGTGTGGTTCAGGGTGAATGGAGGACACAGAAACACACAGAGGCCTAACTACCTCGGAAAACAGGCTCGGGCTCAAAATCAAACACTATGTCATTGGGGTAGGAGTATAGGAGGGGGCTTGAGGTCCGTGTTCGGTGCTTCCTCAAGCAGCGGGCGGGGTGGTTCGGGGGGGCTGCAGGGCAAAGAGAAACAGACAGACCATCACTGCTACTCCCTCTGCCCCTCGCACCTCCAACTCCTGACTACACCTACAGCTGATGGATGGAGAGAACTGCTGGCTACACCTGAATATGTTGGCATGTTAGCATGTTAGCTCGCAGTGTCGGTCAGCGTGTCTCTGCAGGTCTCACACAGTTTAACGTGAAGATAAACAGCATTCATTGAACAAACACCTCTGTCTGCTGATTGGTCAGAAGATGATAAAACCTTGTACAATGGAGCTTGAAGAAGGACGCGGTTAGCTTAGCTTAGCTTAGCTTAGCTTAGCTTAGCTTGTGTTCAGCTAGTTTGTTTCCTGTTCAGTTCTGATAAGTAACATCTTTGTTATTCATGACATGGTCACAGCTTGGATTTATCGCTGACTTCGTTTATTTTTACATTTTAAACTTGATATTTGAACTCGTTCGGTACTTAAGAGCTTTCCTGAATTCGAAGATTTAGACGAATTCTCCATTAGAACGACTTTTGAAACACAATCGATCACACGTTCATTTCATATCATCAGGAAATAATACGACCGGTCGGGCACAGCAGCAGATCGGGTCGTGACGTGCGTCTTCAAAATCCGGTCTACGGCTCATTAACGGGTTCTAAACGGGCCTGAACTTGTACAGCGTCGCCCCTGGGTTAAGGAGTTTCTGTAGAATATCCACGGAGGAAGCAGAGTTACAGACACGCCGTCTACGTCAGTTTTTTTTTAAAATTTGAATACAAATTTATTTAGTAAGCCTTGGACGGGGCTGAAACGTTCGTCCTGAGAGGTGTGCGTTCAGTGAATAATTCTCGTGTTGCTGTCGACTGGTTTTGGAAATATGTTATTATTGTTGATTCTGTCGGCACCAGCTGATGGTTTGTTCTTGAATGTTTCCCTCTGAGTGAGTTAGCATCGACGTTCTGAAGTTAAAAAACTGAAGTCAGCGAAAAACACCAAAAACTACCAGGAGAAGAAAACATGATGAAGTCAATATTCTAATCCAAAGCATGTCATCCAATCATTTTAGACCCATTAAATCCCCTCCTGATGTTTCACCTTCACAGATGTCTTCCCCTCTTTTGATTCTTAATCCCTTTTTTAAAATTTTTTTTTTTTTTTTTTTGAGAATCTCTCCGGTCGACTGAGGTGGTTTTGAAATGTGCCGACTAACTGAACTGTGACTGTGAGTGTTTCAGTGAACGAGGTCTGCCGAGTGAATCTGCCCTCAGTGAGTGTTCGGGTGCAGATCTAAAACACAGCTGACTGAACTTCACACACACACATAAGACCAGAGCACGCAGACGCGGGATGGTGGGAAAAAAAAGCCACAGAATGATCCAGAAATCTGCGTCAGTGACCCTTACCTCCGTCTGACCTCGGTAAGCCCTGATCCCGAATCAGGTCCTGAGAAGGAAACAAGACGGAGAAATCATTTCATATTCATTTCAGTGTTTGCTGGAGAAAAACTCTCAGGGCATTTTCACATCAGGCACGATTGTTTCGCACCGTGCCCCTGCTCCTGCTCCCCCAGACCCCCCACCCCCTGCTGGTCTGCCTTCACATCAGTAACATGTATGTACACAGTCCGAAACAGCAGGGGGCAGAATGCACAAAGTTGGTTTGCAAAGTAACCATGGTAACCACTCGCTTGCTGAGTCCATCCTGCTAACTGTGGATGTTTTTTTTGTTATTTCTGAGACGCCAACATCGATCCTCTTCCTGCGTCCACGTCTACCGTGCAGCTCAGAGGACGAAACAGGCCGCGCCGTGCGGATAAGATGGTTTTAAAAGCGACAGGAGCCATTTCGAATTAGGTCATAAAGCGGTCCACTTCCCTCCTTGGAGCACGGTTGCGTTCACATCTCCTGCAGACCGTACTCCTGACAGAACAGGTAAAAACCGGAGGAGCCGCCATGTTTTGTAACAGGGTGAGAGAGGGCGCACACTCACGTCGATGTTGACCGGCTCGATGGTGTTGATATGAACATTTGGGGCCGAGGACGAACGGTCCCGCTGACCAAACTGGTTGCGGTGGTCCTCCTCGTTGGGCCGGAAACTGGGCGGGATGGGTATGGACTTGGACGGGGACACAGTGGCGTGGCACATCGACCTGAGGAAATGAAAAAGGTGTCACTAGTTTCACTCACAGGGAAGATGTCTGCATGGTTTAAAGCACACGATGCTGAATGATCAAAGAGAGGAGGACTGACCCGGTGGAGTCGGAAGGGGGGAGGGATGGACAGGCCTCGGACACAGGGGTGGTCCCCTCAGAGGAGACCTCCTCCTGGGTGAACGGGTGGTGCTCGAAGAACTTGGACACGAGCAACAAGCTGCAGAACAAACATCTTTCAGTTATAGATACAAGGAGCTTCAACACGTTCATACATGGATGTCTTTACAGTTCACTACTTTACAACAAACCGAACCCTCAGAGTCCTGCATCGATCTGTCCTCTAGAGGTTCCCGACCCTGTCAGTCTCATGACCCCACTTAGATTTCACCAATCTCTAGCGACCCCAAACACAGACAGCTCTATGCTAAATTTTGCAACGTTTTTTTTTCCCCCTCTGTTTGTTAAAAATCTGAAGTTTTTTTCTTCTAGTTTTGATACTTTTTGACACTATAGATCGTTAAAGGAGAGATTTGCAGGGCGCCCGATGTTCAGAGGCTATAGTCCTCGACACAGCAACGTGGGTTCCCATCCGACCTCCGGCCCATTTGCTGCACGTCACCCCCCCCTCCCACCCACTCTCTCTCTCCTCCAAACACTTCCTGTCTATCTCTTCAGGTGTCCTGTCTAATAAAGGCAAAACTGTATTACTCTTGCATCGTTTTAAAACATGCGGTCTCAAACAGTTTAACAGGTTTGAACACCTGCTAAGACGTCATGAAAGTAGATCAGCGTGCCGTGTGTGTGTGTGTGTGTGTGTGTGTGTGTGTGTGTGTGTGTGTGTGTGTGTGTGTGTGTGTGTGTGTGGGACTCACTCGAGCTGGTCGTAGTTGACACACATGAGCGGGACCTCGGTGCTGCAGCGCTGGTGGAACTTGTATCCGCAGGTCTGACAGCGGAAACCCTGGAACAGCAGCTTTCTGCAGAAGTCACAGAAGGCCAGCGTGAAGAACGTCTTCCTCACCTGTCAATCCAAGAAAAAGAAAAAAAAAATCAACAACGCACCTAAACATTTAGAAACAGAGTCAGGCTGAGAGAAAAATCTAAATGTAATGCGTCATGATGTGAACCTCTGAGCACTCACAAAGTTGTGTGTGGTGAGCGGCACGTTCTCCAACACCTCCACATGCAGCTCCTCTCCCGTCAGCCAGGAGATGTCTGTGTCCCAGCCAATCGGCTTCTTCTCTCTGAAACAAGACGCGCACGCTGACCACAGCTGTGTGTACTTCACAAAGCTGCTCGTTCAAACACCACGCAGAGATTCATGCAGACATGAAACATGACAACAGTTCAACCTTCTGTCGTCATCACAGAGACGCTCACACACGACTGAACCAAAACCTTTTTCACAGACTGCTGCAGTTTTTAAGTTACCAATAAAATAATTCTACTCGTCTGCATTACCGTCTTCATGTTTATATCTCATAAAAACATCGACTTTCACCTAAAACGAGGACGAGTAAGTCAGCTCGGCCTCCACAGTGTGATCTCTGCAGCTCTTCTCTGGTTTACGTCTTTACAGAGCGTAACACACAACATGTCCCTCATACAGGGTATCAGGATAGTGTTGGCAGATTTGACTCGATCTGAGGACCTCAGAGAGGATTTGATGTGTTCTGGATTAAATCTCTGATTTTGTACATGAAGCAAACTCTGCATAAATTCATTATTTTCCAAACTTCCAGCCTTTGTAAAACCTTCTCTTTAGAACATTATAACCCTCCGTCTGCAGTACGACTGTCCGTTTTCATTCAAGGTTCAAACATTCATTCAAACCTGGGGGGGGGTAGATTGTAGTTTGATCCAGCAGAGGGCGCTCTCAGCGTGACTTGACTATTGAATGCACTCTTGACCTCAGTAAATGAAGACAGTTATGTTCTGGCAAAAGCAACACGAGACTCGTCTCTCTACAGAAAGCAGCTCACTGATTGTTGGAGCGACATGGGCTGCAAACCTGCAACTCTCCAAGCTGGCTCGCAAGTATCTGTGTACCAGGAGCGTCTGTGCGCTCTGAACGGGTTTTTCACTTCAGCAGGTATGTGTTGCAAATTAAAAATAGCTGCATTCGATCCTGATCAAGTTAACAGACTTGTGTTTCTGTTAAATAATATTTAAAAAAATCTTCCTCCCTTCAGGATCGTCAACAGGTTTTAGGCTCATAAATTGACACACTATAATAAAGTAACAGCAGGGCGTGGCGTTGTGGGGGTGGGTCGAATGCGGTCGAGCCTTACCGTGTGATGTTCTAAATCTGTTCCAAGATGTTTGATTGAAAAGATGAGATGACAGCTTTAGTCTGCAGTGCAGCGTGTGTCAGTGAGAGACGTACCCATCCTGTATCCTGTAGACCGCACAGCATTCTGGGATGAGGCCTCGCATCATCAGAGCTTTCTTCAACGAGTCCCTCACAGTCATCCCACAGCGGGCCGGTACCTGAACGCATCACGACAACATTCAGTGGAATACGTTGAACGGAAATACATAACGATCATTACATCTACGCCGAGGTCATCGAACGTACCACCGTCCTCTGTTTGTTGGGCAGGAAGACCCTGACGATGGGTTTCTGTGGGGAGCGGGGGTTGGCTCTGCTGGCGTCGATCGGGGTCTGCAGGACAGCTAAGGTGTTGGGGGCCGACGGGAAGGCCTGAGCCCCCCTCCGACCCACATCCCCCATCTTCACCTCCAGCAGAGCGGGCATGGGAGAAGGCGAGCAGAGGAAGTCGGTCCCGTTCCCCATCGCCTCCAGCAGCTGCTGCTCCCTCTGCTGCAGGGCGTCCAGCTTACTGGTGTACTCCTCATACGCCTGACGGAGATGAGGAGGACGAGGACAAGGACGAGGAGGAAGAGGAAGAATAAGAGTATGAGGAAAATGAGGATGGAGAGTGTGAGCAGCAGCAGAGAGTGTGAACCAATGAAGATTTGATTTCTCCATAAATATATCAGTTTAAACGTGACCCGTCTCACCTCGAGGTAAATAGACGGAGGGTTGTGTTCCCCTCCGAACTTGTCCAGGAGAGCCTCTAAATGTTCCTGTGTCAGTTTGATCATCTGTTTGATGTTCCAGATCTGTGCAGGGAAACAAACAAACAAACATGTTTATAAACAAATTCAGAGTTTCCAGCAATAAATGGACTCAAAGCGCTTTAACGCCGCATGTCACACCGACACATTCACACACTGATGGTAGAGGCTGCTGTGTAGCGAGACCATCAGAAGTAACTAATCCATCCATATGCCGCCGACGAAGCAGCGGGAGCAATTTGGGGTTAAGTGTCTTGCCCAAGGACACGTCGGACATGTTGCAGGAGCTGGGGATCGAACCTTTAACCTTCCAGTTGAGATAGGACGGCTCTACCACTGAGTCACAGCCGCCCCAGTGGCAAACAGGCCTCTGCTCGAGAAGACGTGAGGACGTACAGCGAGGATGAGGACGTACAGCGAGGCGGGACCAGGGTTTCACTTTAGGTTTCACAGGAGGTCGCGTGAGGGGTTTGCCGCGTTAGCTCGACAGGAAGTTGGAAATGAGCTCTTAATCTTTTAGCATACTTTTATTGAGGCGTGTCCTCTTCAGCATGTCGAACTGATGCAGAGGAGGGACGGGATCAGCTGAGCCAGCGAGGGAGCAGAGCGCGTTTTAAAACGACAAACTCCATTTATTCACTCCTACATCCTGCAAACAATGTGCAGAAATGTCCGCTCGCCTCACAAGCTTTGCTTCACATTTTACTTGAGAGAAACTAAATCAGGAGCGCCGATAGCCTAGCGGTTATGTCACGCGGAACCATGTACAGAAGATGTATGTCCTGGTCGCAGCGTGACCTCGACCCTTTGCTGCACGTCAAACCGCCCTCTCTCCTCCCAACACTTCCTGACTTAAAAGAAATCCTTAGAACGGTTAGACGTGAACAACAGTTAGCAGCTTACATCATTAATGAAGGATTAAAGTGACAGGAAGTCGTACTGAAATCAGGAAATATACAAACTAAAAATCACTCGGCAGGAAGATGAACTCGACTCACAACCAGAAACACACACACACACACACACACGACGTGCCTGATAGATGAGGAGTCAAACAGGAACCGTTTCTCAATAAAGTCGAAGAAACCACAAGCTGTGTGCAGGGGCGTGGCCAGATGAATGTGCATGGGGTGTGAAGGGGGGGGGGTGTCCAAAGGGTGGCATGGGCACCCCAGGTGTCACCCCAAAATCCCAACCTATGATTAGCCCGTTAGATCGTAACGTTATAAGAGCACTCGAGCATTTGGATTTCCTGTTCATGATCGTCACTGATACTGGGGACGACACATTCTCAGGAATAAAAATGAGTCCATACAAATGTGCACGCAAACTCACGCTGTCTAACTTTTAAAAGCATGAAGAAGCAATGTCACCGAAAACGTGTCAATAAATGTATTTCGGCAGATCAGACGGTGTGCACGAGTTTGAATGCAGTTTTCGGAGATCTTTAAGTTGTGACTTTGTGCATCTTCTTTTTTTTAGCCTTCAAAGAATTAAGCAGAAGAGATAATAACTGCAGGACTGTGTTACTAACTGGATGGCAGTGTTTCCCACAGAATGAGGGTCTTTAAGGATCAACCTTCAAAGTTATGTTTGTAAAGCCGTTTCCTCTGATGTTATATTTTGCTGAATTTAAAATCAAACTAGTTAAGAACGATTCATTAGCTGAGGAATTGGACTTGCAGAAAATCAGTAACATTATTTGAGGAGCTTTATCAAGCAATGTCAGCATACAGTCATAAGGCAAACAGATCCCGCCCCCACACACTAAAAGAAGACAATCAACACACGAGCACGAGACAGCACAGCTAGCTGCTGCACAAACTAGCACTATTAAGTTAACTTTACTCAGCAGCAAAAGGTAAACAGAAATGACAACCTGCAACAGTCACAAGATGTGACCACAGACTGTAAAGATGAATGTTTGAAGCCTGAGTGTTGTCACCTGTCTGTTCCTGCAGGGGGCGCTGGAGTCTGAGGCAGGTTTTAAGCCTTCTGACAAACCGTTACACCGCGCCCACCTGTCAATCAGGTCAGCTACACGCCTTACTGTGAATAACTCTTATCCTTCATCAAATCAAAACTGATGAGTCATCAAAACATTCACCCCCCCCCCCGTACAGTGTGTGTCGATCGAGACATGAGCTAATCAGACCTATTTGGTTTTTTGAACCAGGCTGTAAACATGTTCATCTCTGCTGTAAAAACAGGATTTCTGAATGGGTGTGTATGTGACTTCCTGTGCTTCTGCAGCCAGCCACTAGTGGACACTTGAGGAACTGCAGGATTTTACTGGACTCTACTAGTGTCACTTTATATGCATTTGGTGGTTAGAGTAACTATTGGCAACAAGCCACAGAGCTGCTTTCAGATAGTCAGCAATCAATCCCCAGATCTCTGTAATGACCGCCACCGCCACACGAGGGCGCTGTTATATAAATATAAAGGAGCCTTGCACCGACAGCGACAGAAGATAAAGCTGTCTATTAAATCCATCTCAGAGGAATGAGATAACTTTACAGACAATTAAAGGAACACTGAGTGAACACGAGTACAATCCAAAAAAATCTCATCATCCTGTTCGATACCACGGCAAAGATGGAAGATCCAGGCGCCAAATATTTTTGGTAATTTCTTGTTTTCTTTACGATGAAAACTTGCAGACAAACTCCTGCACGCTGACTAGATTGCTTCGGTACCCAAACATTGATGGATTGTTTCCTCTCCTGCACACCTGTCTTATGAAGTTTATTTAAAGTTTTGCTGTGTTTAAGAACACGCCGTGTTTAAAATAATTGGAGCATCAACTGTTTAGACGACCGCAGTATTTGTCATGAGTTTTATTTGAACAAACTAACCAAGTAAATCAGGATTCTTCTGCTGCATCGTCGGTTCGGTTTGTTGCAGGGTCATCTTATTAAAAGTTACAGAAGCTCTGTTAGTGGCGATCTGTAAATCCTAGTAAAAGGTTCAGTTTTATAAATACAGACAAAAAAAATGATTCTTCAAACAGACGGAGGAGAGTTAGTGGGAAGACTGGAGCTGATGGGACAGACTGTGAGAGAGAGAGGCCTCTGACCTGCCACACACACACACACACACACACACACACACACACACACACACACACACAGTGTGTGTGTGCGTATGGCTCCCTCACACCTGAACATCACACAGGCACGACTTGAGTGATCTTCCTCCTCCTCCATCCTCATCCTCACCTCCTCTGAGGAGGACCTGAGAGCACGTTACACACTCAACGACAAGGTGTGTGTGTGTTTGTTGCGTCAACACTGCTGTGTGTGTGTGTGTGTGTGTGTGTGTGTTGGCGCACCAGGCTGCAGCTGCAGTGAGTCTTTCTGCTGGACAAACGGAGCAGGAGCGGAGGAATAAAGCAGGCCCGAAACGAGCATCTCTACCCCGGATAAAGCGCTCTCCTCCTCCTCCTCCTCCTCCTCCTCCTCTTCTTCTTCTTCCTCCTCCTCCTCCTCCTCCTCTCCTCTCTCCCCCCCCCCCCCCCCCCCCCCGGCCTCGCTCCTCAGACTCCCCCCGCTCAGATAAACCGTTACCTCTCAACGCTCCGGCCTCTCCCCCCACGCCCCCCCCTCCGCGCTGCCTCCCCCCTGATCCGTGCTACAGCCGGTGTTTCCTGAACGTTTACATCCAATTACCTCCTCTCCTAGCCCGGGTCCACTGCCCAGCTTAGCCCCGCTCCCCGCCGCCAGAGCGCTTACCTCCTCATCCTGCGGACCCTCGGGGATCCCCCCCGTGCAGGAGTCCTCCAGCCCGGCGCCCAGCTCCTCCAGGCCCCGCTCGCTGCCCGGCTCCTGCTCCTCGGTGTCTCCGTTAAAGACGGGCGGTGGAGACTCGGCGCTGCTCAACGCCGCCATTTTAAACTGCGAGAAACTGAGTGGAAAATAATAGAGGAGCCCGCAGAGAGAGGCGGAGGCCGGCAGGGGGCGACAGAGAGCAGCGAGCACACAGACACACACACAGAGGGAATAAACGAGGGAATAAACGAGGGAGGGGGAGGGGGGGGGGCTTTACTGTTTATTTATAACTGAAATATTATAATTAATGCTTAGATGATTTTATAAAGTAAATATGTTTAATTATTTGGCTTATTTTAGAATTAATCTGATCCATTAGTTTGATTGATTTAAGTATACTTGTATTTTTACACTTTGAAATGTTTTTATTATATCTTAAATATAAAGTAAAATGTTTATGCTGTGTTTTATACAGAAGCCCTGAGAGGACAATTGTCCGAATATTTAATTTTAGATTCAATGATAAAAAAGTTTCTCGTCACTCGGTTATAAAAATACAAACGTGTGACATTCTTAAAAGGATTCAGAGGCTTTTAAGAAAAGTAAGTACATTTAAGGGGCGTTTCACATTAAGGACCCGGGCCTAGACCCGAGTCTGCTTGATCTCAAAGTACGGTTCACTTGATCATGGTGAACACAAACGTATCGTACTCGGCTACCGTGCCCGAGTCCGCTTAAAGAGGAGGTCTTGGGCACCTCGACGACTCAAAGGTCACACCTACACATTCACACGCTGATGGTAGAGGCCGCTGCGTAAAGAGTCCATCGGCATTAACTCATCCTTTCATACACATTCACACGCTGATGGTAGAGGCCGCTGAGTAAAGAGTCCATCAGCATTAACTCATCCATTCATACACATTCACACACTGATGGTAGAGGCCGCTGTGTAAAGAGTCCATCAGTATTAACTCATCTGTTCATACACAAGCAGAGGAAGCAACTTGGGGTTAAGTGTTTTGCCCAAGGACACATTTGACTGCAGGAGCTGGGGATCAAACACTCGACCATGTTGAAAGACGACAACTCTACCACTGAGCCACAGCAGACCCATTATATGAGTCTTATACACGTTAACTAAGTTGTTTTGATTTCAAACATGGGATTGTTGTAACTGCAGAATTGTTTCTAGTGGAACTGTCGTCTTGAAAGTTGCTGTACGAGGCATTTTGTGTGAAAGGTGAGGTGTGAGCTGAGTCGTCCCCGAGTGTTTTGCAGTTTTTGCCGCTTGATGCAACTTAACTTTTGAAACTTGTGATCTCAAACAAAAGGCTGAGGCTGCAGGTTGTAGCCACTTTTATTTATCTTTTTCTACAATTTATCATCAGACGCTTTCATCCAAAGCGACGAACATCATAGAGTAAGCTTTAAGTCTGATCAGACACACAGGTGCGGACAGGAAGTGACCAGAGACAGAGCAGAAATCTGTTCTGATGCTGGTTGGATTGTTTGTCGGGTTATTTGAGTTCTGGTTCTTTGTTGTTATGTTTCTTTCTGCACATGTCAGACCACTTACGTACGCTTGTTTTTAAAAGAGCTTTACAAATAGTTCTAATTTTTATTGAAGTGACCTGAATCTGTTTTTTTTTGTGACCATGTGAAAACCTTCAGCGTTCACGTTGACTTCAAATAAATCCATGAAACATTACAAACATCTGTGAAGTGTGTCGTCGTTCCTCGACATGTATCTCAGCTCAGGAAGAGATTTGTAACATTTCTCAAGTGGCTTTTATTTTGAAAATCACAACATGTCTGTCTCTCTTTACATCCTTTTCCTCTTAAGCTGACGACAGGAAGCGACTTCCTCCCAAATCAACACGAGGAACACGAAGCTGCAAGGATCCTGATCATCATTAAGGTTATAAAGGAAGAGAAAGAATTCTTCAGTTCTTCTTCGTTTGTTCACTCTGTCGATCATCTTAGCGGCTTATCAACGTCACAAATTCACATCAAACCGTCTGTCTATGTTTCACCCTCTGACACTTTTAACTCCAGGTTTTAATAATGAAAGGAGTGAACCATCACTATGGAATAAACATGAGAGAGAATGTTTCATTTGCAGCCAGGAGAGAGAAGTGTCAGACTACCCCCCCCCGTTAGTCCAAAGATGTCCGCCTCCATAAACACCAAAAGAGAAACATGAGTCCTGTGTGGAGACGGAACAGCAGATCGAGTGCAGCTCATTTCTTCTTCCCCGCTCTCTTCCCCTCGCCTTTCTTCGGTTTCCCCTTCCCTCTCAGTTTCCTCAGACGATGCATCTCCTCCTTAAAGTCCTCGTGTTCATCTCTGAGAGGAAGAAAACAAACAAGCATTAAGAACTTCATCGTGAAATCACTGATTAGAATTCTTTTTAGAGGCGGTGCTGGTAACCTAATGGTTAGGGCGCCTGCAGTCCTCCAAGCTGACAGCCCGGGGACAATTCGACCTGTGGCTACTCCCCCGCTTGTCATTCCCCCCTTTTCTCTGAGCTCTGACTCTATCCACGGTCCTCTAAAATAAAGAAATGATTCTCTTCACGACTGACCCTATAAATCACAATGTGTGTGAAGGCCATGTGGTAGGTACCATGACAGGAGCTGTGTGTGGGTGTGGTGAGCAGTGGTGGAGGCCAGAAGGTGATGAAAGAGGGCAAAATAACTGGTTCAGATAGAAGTGATGCACGTAAACATAAAGCACCCAAACTAATTCCTTTCTCGTCAGTAAACCTCGATTCTTATCCTGATCCTGTTAACAGTACATATCAGGCTCATCATTTCTGTTCAGCTCGTGTGAACCCTGACCTGCCGGTATAGCATTAGTTTCTGCGTACCTGAACAGACCCATGAAGCGTAGTTTCTGGGTCATGGCGTAGTAGATCTTGTGCTGGGGGTACCAGTCGTACACCTCCTTCCTCTGGGCCACGGGGGGCTCGCTGAACAGCTGCACCACCTTCATGGATTTAGAGTCTGTGGGACGGGCGACCTCCCCGAAGATCTGCGCGCTCAGTCTGGCCATCCGCAGGGCGTAGTTCGACAGACCGGCCATGACCGCTGAAACAGAGAGGAGACGAGGATTAAACAGAGCGTTCACAGAACAAATTAAAACGGAGTAACGGCTGATTTTTGTTTCAGCAGTCTCAGACTAACAGGAAGGGTCTGCGTTCCTCAAAAAGAGGGGGAGGAGTTTGGTGCCTTTGAGGTCAATGCAGACTTTCAATGTTATCATGATCAGGTTCAACAGACCACACAGATAAACTGTGATTATAAAAACACTGAAGGTGTTTAATGAAGAGGGTCACACGTCCTGAACACTAAATATCTTTGATCATTTCTGTACTGATTTTAATTTTATCTCCGTCTAACCTGAAGGGCTGACAGGAAGGTGCACACGGGACTTATAAACTATCGCGAGGTGAAACAAGAAGCTAATGAGTCATTAAGTCAACCTACAGGATATTCACATTATTTTCTTTGGGACATTTGTTTTTTTTTTAAGGTGGAGCTAAGCATCTCCAACTGCCTACAGCCACAGCACCGAAGCCTGGTGTACCGCCGCCTCACCGTCCTCTACGTCCAGGGCGCATGAGGACCAACTGTTCTCTGCATCAGGACGCTCTCCCTCATAAGCCACGCCCCCCTCCCTTACATGCACGAGCGCCGTCTCTCCAGAAGAGGACCTCAGCTCATCTCTTGCATTGTGTAGAAACTACGTTGTCTCACGTCTCATTCAGCGGTGTTAGTAAACTCAGAGTATAAACTCTGTCATCGGTGAAACGCTTCGAGTGTGGGCTAGAGCACATAAGAGGTAGAGAGCGAGCAGGGAGACAGGGAGGCTCTGATTGGTCCATCAGATTGGTACCTCGTGGCAGACATTGGTTGAAGTTTTTACAGGATTACAACTGATACAGATGACGGATTTTCTTTGTTCCTTTTCAGAGAACATGAGTTATTCATTTCTGTCAGGAACTAAAGACAATTTCAACCAGAATCTTAAAAAGTGGATCTCGAGGAAATGAGCAACCCTGAGTTTAAACATTCACAGTCTATTCATTCATCCTGTGTTACAGCTCTGGGGGCAGATCCCTCTTTGGCACATTTTAAGATGATCCACGACTTTCTGACATGTTAGAGAATATAAGACAGAATATAAAAGACTTAAGCAGAGTTTTAATTTGAGTTTTAAGTTATTTTCCAAGTGTTTTCTGACAAAAGAAAACTAACCTGCATCATTATACCAAAACACAAAACACAACAGGTTAAACTGATAACACACGAACATGAATCTCTTACAGTCGTAAGTTAAATATGAAACATAAGAAAATAGAATAATAAAGTGAAACAGCCCTCAACTCTTCGTGTAGCTCTTAGCTGTTAACAATAATAACAGTTCACATTTTCTTCTCACCTGAGTCTGTATTCCGTCAGTCAGAGTTTAATCTTTGCTGTAAGGATGTTAAAATGTTTCTAAATGCAGTAAAATCTGAATGAAAACAGATTAAATCAACAAACATTAAGACCAACGTTAACCTTCACTATCCACACGGCCATCACACACTCCACTGCGCATGACACAGTTCCCTTCACCTGATTGGCCAGTTTCCTTCACTTCCGGTTTAGCGATAAAAACGACTTTTCCTTACGAAGCTTACTTTAAAAAATAATATTACTTACACATTTATGCATCATGTGTCATAAAGGTTTGATTGACGTTGACATTTTAAGTTTTTATTCTGTTTTCATGTCATTTCTTATATATTTAACCGCCGGAGGGATGTCCGTCGCTCTAAAGAGTCCGATGTGTAACAGTTCTCACATACCGTTCCGTTAACGCCCCTTTGCCAGATCTTGAAAATATAAAAAAAAGTTTGCCGATATTATTTAAGTTGTATGTGGCTTATAAAATCTTTATTTATTTATTAGACGTATTATGGACCGCTACAAATAACCTACAGGGATTAAAGGTGAGAAAACTCGACGCATTTACACGTACGTGATATAAAATAGAAACATCTGCCTGCTAATGCCTACCTTAGACCGGAAGTTTGTTCCCTGCTCTGTAGCTCTTTACACCATGCTCAGGATGGCATTTTATTTAATCTATCCACCACCTTTATTCAGACTGAAATAACTTAACGAATAATTTATAGATTGGTTTAAAATCGACTGGTTCTGGTGACTTCTTATCGAAGTCTTCTTTTAATCAAACCAAGAGTGTAATAGTATACAAACATAAATGTAAATGTTGTGTCGTATGAATCTATTTTTAATGAAATCAACACATTCAAAGATACATTAAGACCAATTATGTTTGTTTGTTCATTTAGAGTGTTTTAAAAATGTGTGTGAATAATTTCAGGATCCTCAATAATTCTTCAAATCTCTCCCCCATGTCGTCATATTCATCTCCTCAATTCCCCTAAATATTGGCTGTTTAAGTGATCTTATTATTTGCTATCAAAACGGCACTCATTGTTTTTTAGCAGTTGAGATAATCTGTCGATCGTCAAATCTAAATTTTCATCTTTAAACTCGTAAATTAGAAACTTTCATGATTAAACTTTCATTAAGACTCAGTTTATGAAATAAAAAACCACATCTCTGTTTTAACTCTGCTTTGTGTGCAGCATTTTTATTCTGAAGAACTTCAAAGTGTAAGTGATAAACGTTTCCGTGAAAACTGGTCTCATCTTATCACCTCATTACAGTTTGTAAACAGCAGAGGGCGCCAGATATGCAGAAACGGAGAACTGCAGGTGTGGATTTTTCTGGACACTTTCACAGGTTCACCTGCAGCTGCAGAGCGACACACACTGACAGGAAGTATAACAAGAACAACTCTGAAGGGATGGGTCAGCATGCTGTGGGTGAGGGTACAACTCAGGTGTGTTTACTGCCGTGAGTGAAATAAAATAAAAGCCTCCATGTGTTGTTTTCTAATGTTTATTATAACTTTAATATTTAAATAAGAACGGACAAAATTTGGTGCTTCAGCCCCAGTGGTCATTGAGGGTCACACTTGGGGTCACTTCATTTAATTGTCTTCAAGGAGAAATTAGTTTAGCAGCCAGGTGTAAACAAGAAATATAAAGCGCTTTCACACTAGTGTTCATGCTGAGCGTGATGTGTGAACACAACCAGCTGAATGTTTCTCTCTTCACCTGGAGTTTCTCTTCCAGCCTCCTCCTGCTGCATTGTGTTTCCTGTTCTCCAGAATGTTCTTCTCCACTCTTTAGTTCACATTGAGATTCTGTTCAACTACACGTAGCATTGATAGAAAGACACATATTCTTTGTCCGGCACTTCCACATCGTTCTTTTTACGTCACGTCCCACTTTGAGGTGCATGTGTGAACAGCAAGGTCAGGAGAATATCCGCTGCAGTCCTCCTGAAATTAGACATCGCCCTATATGTCCTCCCACCTGTTGTAAATCTCATCACAGCCGTTTAACATTCACATGGTCTCACCTGAGTTCGGAGGTGGATGCGTCACCTCTGTTAGCGAACAACCCCCCCCCCCCTTTGTCAACCTGCCATCCTCCTCCTCTCCCCCAGCAGCAGAGAGAGAGAGATGTTGAGTTTAACCTTTCAGAGTAGCCTCTCCTGGCTCATTGATTCTTCTCCGAGCGGAGGTGAGTCAGAATCAAACTCTCTAAAAAGTAAACGTCCTGACTCTGCTGTGTGTCGGTGATCTGTGGAGCTGTCCGTGGTGCTGAGGTCGCAGACAGGTTGTTCTTGGACCTGTAGTATTTTTCTTAGAGAGTCAAACATTACAAACGACCACACGGACAGCAAAGAGGGAAACAAAACAAGACAGGGGCGGCAGTAGCTCAGTCTGTAGGGTTGGGTTGGGAACAGGAGGCACGCTGGTTCAAGTCCGAGTGCAGACCAAAATATAGATGTTGGTCTGGTAGCTGGAGAGGTGTCGGGTCACTTCCTGAGTACTGCCTAGGTGCACTTGAGCAAGGCACAGAAATCCCAAGCTCCTGTTTGTGCATGTGTGTTATTCGGGCCTATGTGTGTGTGACCCGCAACAGAGTGTAAAAACCAGAACTTCCCCTCAGTCATTAATAAAGTCTGTAAATGAAAAAGAAAACAAATAATAATAAACCCCCCTGTGTTCTCGTCATGCTCGTCCCAAGGCATCAATCTGCATGAGTCCAATCATATTTAGCTCTAGGTGTCCTATGTCTGTATTCAGTCTATTTCAGGTAAGAAAACCTTCCTGACAACCAATCAGGACTCTCCACAGAGACGAGGTGTTTCCAAAACAGTCAGGACTAATAACTGTTCATTACACATCAGCACGCTGCTTACCTCTCGTGTGGAAGCAGCAAAAAGTTCATCAGATAGTGGATGCTGATGATGCACAATTCATGAAGCTGCATTATTTCGAGACCACCGACTGTGATGTTCACTGCGCTGCAAACAGACACCAAGCAAGCACCAAGGAAGGAAAGAGCATCCACGTTTTTAGAGTGATGTTGAGAGAGTAAGTTGAATTTCAAAGTGAATGAAGCTGAGGAGGAATCTCTGCTTTGAGTCTCCCTCTCTGCTCACCTGAGACCCGTCTGTACCTGGGCGCCTCACAGCACTCACACTCTTTATTCCAGAGTGTTGTCGCAGCTCTCTGGCCTGCAGGTTCATCCCCTGACCTCGTTCGTGGTCGTAGTTTCTGTGAGCGAGCTTCAGCAGGCAGAGTACAAACACGACTCAGGGCTGGTTCACGTCCTGTGTTCGCAGCGTTAACGACACACAAAGCCTCCGTTAACCCGAGGCTAAACATGTAAGAGCTGCATGCTAGAATGTCTTTGTGTCCAACACATCAACAGCGGGAGGTCTGTCTTTGATCCAGCTCAACACGTTTTCTTGCCATGAAGCAGCAGTAGTTTATCCAGCAATTTAGATGTAAGAGAGAGGAGTGAGACATCATCACGAGCTGGCAGGCTAACAAAGAAGAGCACAGGATCCTTCGTTACTTAGTTTTTAAGTGTTGAAAATTACACTTTAAGCTCTCTGATATACAGGAATAAAACTGTGATATGTATTTACACTTCCAAAAAGAGATATCAAACCCCTGCAGATGATCCAGATTGCAGCCGTGCGACTTGTCTTCAACCTCCCCAAATCAGCACACATCACTGGGCTGTTCATCTCCCTCCACTGGATCCAGTGACCTCAAATTTAAAACTCTGCTGCTCGCTTACAAAAACAGTCTCCTCCTTACCTAAACTCTCTCATCCAGGTCTACACTCCCTCCCGCCCACTACGCTCTGCCAATGAAAGGCGTCTGATCCAACCTTCAAAACAGGGTCCTAAGACCCTAACTGAACTCTTCTCCTCTGTCGCCCCCCCAGTGGAGGAACGAACTACCAAACTCCATTCGATCTGCAGAGTCCCTCTGCACCTTTAAGAAAAAGTTAAAGTTAGAAATCCACATATTTATTAAAGTATATCATCTTTACGGTCTAAGCCTAGTTGTTTCAATATATGTATGATTAATTAAAGGAGATAACTCTGATAACTCTGGCACCTAGTGTTTAAAATGGGTACTGCAGTATAAATTCTAAAGACTAGAGATCTGTCTCCCCCCGCCCCCTCCTCTCTAGAGTCCATGCTCACACAGGTTGCCATGTGGTGGACTCTGAAGCTTCAGTGTTTATCCAGCTCTGCATCGGTCTGTAAACCTTTCTGTGTTCTAACCTCTCTCCATTTTTCTAAAGCATCTCCAATATTGATCCTAGTTTGAGCACGTTTCTGCTCGTGGAGCTTATTAAAACATGCAGAGGCTTTTTAGGTCGGGTACAATCACTTCTATCTGAACCACTTCTCTTGCCCGCTTCCATCGCTGCAACACCTGTTGGTTTGACCTGATAACTGCTCTCATATCTGGCAAACAGAGGGGCGTCCAAAACGGTTGTGGGGGTGCCTTAAAACCGTCTACCTTCTCTGGTCCAAACAAATCCAGAGCATTCAGGAGCAGAATCTAAAGTTAGAAGGAGGACATACTGGCTGCTGCAGTGTTGTCAGAGAAGCCAGCACTTCAACATAGCATGTTTCCTTAATGTCTGATCATATAGTGAGGTCACTTTATCATTTCACTCTCTACACATTCTGATTCTGATTGGTCCTTTAATGACGTTTCCATTTGATAAACTCTGTACTTGCTGTCAGACTGACCATTATATAAAAACATGTTTGTTATGATTGAAAGACCCCAATAAAAAAAAATATATATATATAGCAAACTGTGCAGTGCTGTTGCTTTTATTTTGTGCCTTTATTTTGAAAGTCTGTCTACAACCACACCTTATAATTATTTGGAATATGAAGTTGATAACAGCAGTGGTGTCTTTATCAGTGTTTTAAAGTGTGTTGTCAGACAGGATGTAGCCTGTGCGCTAACGCGGCTCTCGTGCAGACAGCACTGCTGCTGATTGGCTCGTGCTCTGGCCTGCTCTGAAGCAGCTGCCGTCATCCTTCAGACGTGCTGAGGATGCTGACTGAGCTCCACTGGTCCCCTCTGCTGACGGACTGCGGCGATCCGGGCACATCAGGTACATTTAGGGCTCAACAAAGCCGGCTCTGTGTCGTTAAAAGACGGCTCGCGTTTGTGATTGAGTGTTTGTCTGCACGCAGCTGCTCGATCCCCTGTTTGTGTCTGCAGCTGCTCCTTTTGAATGCATCGTCTGTTTCAGTGGGTGGGTGATGTAGGGAGGGGGGGTGGGGGGGGGTGCTCTGTGTCAAATAAACGTGTTCGAATAAAGATGTGACTGATCATGTGTTCGCTTGTCGCTGTGTCCTGTCAGGCCGGACGGATTGCTGGGAGATTCGGGTCTCTGAGATGAGATAAACGTCCTCTGCCTCCGCCGAGCTGCTGCAGCGCCGCGCCACGAGGAAAACACGGTGTCATTAAGGGATATAACGTTTTCTTTCACCGGTGAGCTTCGTCACAGAAAAAAAAAAAAAAAGGTTTCAGAACGTCCTCCAGCTCCTCGGTTATGGTCCCGGCGCGTCGCTCCGGCGGTGATGTGAGCTGAGCTGGCGGGACGCCGCAGAGGAGCTGTCCGTCTGTCGAGGTGCTGATGCGGCTGTGACAGAAGCGAGCATGGCTGCCGGGAAGTTGCTGCTGTACGCCGGGCTCTCTCTGTCTCTGTGCGCCCTGGGCATGCTGGCCGTGGCGATGTGCTCCGACCACTGGTACGAGACCGACGCCAGGAGATACCGGGACCGCTGCCGGAGCTTCTCCAGCCGCCGCAAGGACCCAGGATTCATCTACATCCCCAACAACAGCCTGCCGCTGCGGGCCAGCCGGAGCAGCCCGCCCCGCTGGGAGGAGAAGCTGCTGCTGGCCCGGAACCGGCGGCAGCTGTTCGCCATGAGCGCCGCGGATGAGTGCAGCCGGCAGTACAACTCCACCAACATGGGGCTGTGGAGGAGGTGCCACCGGCTGGGCTTCGACCAGGAGATAGAGGACCTGATCCGGAAAGGTAAGAACGACGTGAGAGCGTCACAAGCTGCTGCTGAGACATAAGAAGGTTTATTACTCTGCTGGTGCTGAGGGCGAACAAGGGCACGAACTATGTTCTGTTCGTCAGTGTGAAGGCATGCAGTGTGTGTCTGTCTCTGTGTGTGTGTGTGTGTGTGTGTGTGTGTGTGAGGGATGAACGGCCTGCCTCTTGTTTTCATGCTTCATGTTCATCCTGACGCTGGAGGAGAGGACTGACTGAGGCCTGCATGCTTGTCAGTAACATCAGAGGCTCTGTTGGTTTTCACATCTGGACATTTGTGCAATGCTCTTTTTTTTCTTTGCTTCACATGTCGCGGTTACACTCTTCAGTTTTTGGCCTTTTTCCGTGAACGACAGTGCCTCGAGGACAGGCAGTAAAACATGAACCAACTTGAGGTTTTGGTGAGCCTGAGCAGGGTCATAAATATCCCTGATATCACCTTGATCGCAGGCTCGCAGAAGGTGAAGACTTGATGCTTTTCAGTGTCGACATTTAAAGATGAAATCCTTGAGTGGTTTTTCTGTACATCCAGGAAGACGCTGGAGTTCAGAGGCAGACACTGATATCCATGTTGGGAGTTAGTGCCCTCTTATCAGGACCCTTAGATTTGTCATCGTTTCTAGTTTCGACTCGGATAGAGATCCTGAGCGGGACATTTGACAGTGTAGACGATCTAAAAGTGCTGTCTGATGGACAAACCATGTCGTGGTGGTATTAGACCTCATTCACAGATATGTCTTCGGCTGTGTTACAAAGAGCCACTCACAGAGGCGAGAGAGCGACACAACCCCGTCTTAACCCTGTTTGAATCCTGACGTTTTCTTTTGTTTTCCTGCTGAGACTGTGGTTTGTTTTTTAAGCTGTGTCAAAGAGTTTGTATAGTTCCTCTTCAATCCTTCCCTGTTGCCTTTCACTGACAGCTGTTATCTGATTGGCTGCGCTTGGAAAGGTCAGCAGCAGCACAGGTCAAAGTATGGTGGGCAAAGTTTTCATCCTTTTTTCTTTTTTTTTTGATGCCATGCGTTTTTAGAACGACACGATGGCTGTTATTTTAATGACCTTATGTTTGGACTCTAAAGTTTACTAGCTCTTAGATCTGCTGCAGGAAGTGAACAGAAAACCTGCTGTCAGTTTTTAAAGCGTCAGGCGTGAAGACACGCAAAGGTTGATGGTTAGCATTCCTCCTGAAGCGTCCCCAGGAGGTTCTCGTCACTCGGTGCAGATGCAAGTCATTCAAACAAGCTGGATCCTGTCTTCATGGCTTCTCTGGTCTGAGTCCAAGCTGGAAGAGGAGGGAGAGGATGTGTGTGTGTGTGTGTGTGTGTGTGTGTGTGTGTGTGTGTGTGTGTGTGTGTGTGTGGGGTGGGTATGCTCACTGAATGCTTCAGTGTGAATATGTGTGTTTGTGCTGCAGCTGTGCCTCCTTTGAGGATGCATCAACAGCCCTGATGATGGTTTTCCATCTGCAGTGATGTGCAGCTCATAGTGTGTGTTTGCATCGTGTTGTGTGTGTGTGTGTGTGTGCGTGTGCGTGTGCGTGTGTGCTCAGGGATGAGATGGATGCCTCCACAGAGGGTGGTGGTCTGATGGGGCTCTGAGCTCCGTCAGGATGAAGAGCAGATCGATGTTCATCTTCACCATGCAGCTCGTCATCACTTCACACTGACGGCTCAATACGAGAGACCGTGGAGGATGTTTATAAACGTTCTGCTGCTCTTCTAGAGTGTTTTTTCTAGGTAATATACCTTTGACTGCTGCTGTGACGTCCATTGTTTTTTTTTATACCAAAGACAATACAGCTCTCACTGCTGTTATTACTGCCAGTTCTGCTGCTGGAGGTAAAGCTACTCCCTGCTAAAGTCCGAAAGAACCAATGTCTCTGTCTCTGCTGCTGCTTCTTCCACTGTTCAGGTTCAGGCTACTTTCTTTGTTCCTGTAGGTAAATCTGGTTACAGGGAGAGTCTCAATAACGCACAGACAATGCGTAAACATAAAAAGTGCAAGTGCGTGGTTTATGGGTAAAAGTGCGGACGTGAATAAAGTGCGTTGAGTCCAGTCATGAAACATGATAAACAAGTTGCTCTGAAAAGCCTCAATTGAATTTCGATGCTGCTGATCGTTTACTTAAAGACTCCTGCGAACAAAGGGTCGTCATGATAACAGAGTTAAACTATTACATGCTGCCATTAAAATCAAACGATGTCGATACGAGTTTGATACCACGGCAAGACAAAAACACCCGCTCTCAAGTCATTTATTGGTTTTAATTGTGGATAATTGCAGACAAACTCCTGCACAAATACATTGGCAAAATTTCAGATTTCTCTCTCTCTCTCTCTCTGACTGAAGATCGTGATGCTATGGATCATTAAGCTAACAGGGACTTGTATCGCTGTGGGATCAAAAAAGTATTGAAGTGTTTTAAAAGCTCAGGAGTCCACGTCAGTTTAGCTCATTAAATGTATCCTCACCTTCACTTCTAATCATAACCCTCGCTGGTCGCACTTTCGTTGAACAGTTCTCGACTCTCTGCGACCTGTGACCTGTCATTCCCACAAAGGTCATCATGTCCCTGACCTCATTATCCTGCTTCTTCTTCTTCTTCTTCTTCTTTAACGTCCTCTTCTGGCTCTCGGGTATCTGTGAACCTCGACTCCTACTCCTTCTCTCGCTTACCAACCACTCAAACTTCCACTTCTTCTCCTCCCTCTTGTGCTGGTGTTTCTGCTCGCGCTACTAAATGTAGCGTGCTGCTACCGCGACAGATACTTAAAGCTCCCGGAGCTAAACTAGCTAAGCTAGCCGGCTGCTGCTGCTGCGAGAGTTCCTTCAAGGTTACGACGGCTTCTTCAAACGCCGGTGTTATTATTGTGGAGGAGGAGGAGACACCGTCTGCAGACCCACTCGTCCACTGTTCATGTTTCATTTTTGAGTATTTTCGAGCCTATTGTGTTTTTTCCTGCCCTCCAACCTTTGACTCACGGCTCCACATTCACAGTAGCTTCCACTGAGACGAGATGTTAAGCCCCGTGCTGATTCTGCGTGTTGTACAAAGAACATAATTCTAATTTTTTTTTTTTCTGGGATTTGTTGAGGTCAGAAGTCAGGGGAAAACACCACAAAGCTTTATCTCTACACGCTGTTTGACTTTTATTCCCCTTTAATCCATGCAGTCCAACCACGCGCTGGATTAAATCTGCAGCTTCATGACAGCTCCAACATTATTTCGGGTTCTCCTGTGACACATTAGCAACACATCTGATGAGTCACGTCCTCTCTCACGCTGTTTTGGATATAAATAAAGATGATATTTGTGGTCGTATGGAAGAGATGAATCACAATCTGAGAGCACGTATCGTCTCCACTCGCGCTGACATTTAACTTCATCTTTAACTTTCTCCTTCCTCGTCTGACACGGACACTAATGAAGCTCGCTCATTCATCTTACCTGAAGCAGGAGGGCGGCGGCAGAGGTCCACACACACACACACACACACACACACACAGAATCAGAGCGTGTGTGTGTGTGTGTGTGTTGTGAATAGAGAGTGGGTGGAGTGGGTGGCTGTGGGTTATGCGCTCAGTGTTAGAGGGATGATGACAAGTGTTTCCTTACTGACAACAAATCTCCTAAAAAAAAAACAGCCAAACATTCAGAGTCTTAGATCCCGCTAATCCTTCCAGTCGGTCTGAATCCAAATCCAGAGCGGAGACACAGCATGAACCGTCTCATCACCGATCAAATGAAAGTGTACGGAAATCCTGATCACCTTTAAATCTGATATATGATCAGATTTGATTTCAAATGCAGCGGTCAGCTTCTCAGAGCGGCTGAACTTAAGAGGATCCATCTGTCAGCGCCTCAGTAATAAAGAGATGGATACATGGACCTGAGGGTCCCGGTTTCAGAGTCTGATCCTGGGTCTGATCATCTTCAGGATCTGGTGGTTATAAATACTCGTATCCTGCTTTATGACGACTGCATCCTATTGGTGCAGGCGCCTGTGATGTTTATTTTTTACAACACGAACATTTAGGAATCTGAGAGAAATAAGGCCGCTGTGGATTACTGTGGGCTCAGCACGATTAAACGGCAACATGGCGTTGCAGATGTGGCGTCTCTTCCTCATTTGAAGCAATGGGAACGAGGGCGGCAGAAGCTCAGTCTGTAGGTACTTGGTGTGGCATGTTCAACAACAGAGCTTCAAATCAAATTTCCCCTCACAGGATTAGTAAAGTCCATCTTCTTCATCTTCTTCTGTTGTAAACGTGTTGGGCAAACGGCGTCCTGCAGCATGTTCACCACTGACTTGAACAGCTCCCGATGCTTTCTCTCATCTATACCATAATATTTCACTCTTTCATTACCCAAACACAGAACTCGGTCTCTTCGTCGCTCCAGATGTAAGACGCTCTCGTTGCGCCTGTGCAGGTAGTCGTCAGCTGTCAGAAACCGGGGTAAGGCATCAACATGCCGCAGTATCCGCCGGCTTTCTCTAAATGGTGATAAGGGCTTATCCCTGATTTCTGAAACCAGGATATGATGTTTACGTGCCCAAACACAAAAACAGGATTAAAAACCGGATCACAACAGGGATCCTGACGTCTACTGAAACAAACTCCTAAAATCTGATGTTACTTCCTGTTATCATTTAACCACTTCCTGTCATTATTTAACCTCATCTTTAGTTATTATAGACGACCCCTAAAGGAAAGTTAAATCCTGACGTATCCTTGTCATAAAAGACAAAACAAGAGGCGCTCAGTGTCTCCTTTAATGATACAGACACTCTGCAGGAGGTACGCCAACACCTCACAGTCCATATGAAGTCTCATCTTTAAGAATATTCATTCAGAGAATCTGCTCTGACAGAAGGATGAGGACGTAAACTGAGCCGACCTAAAGATCTATCTGGGTCAGCAGCACACACACATGTCACTGCTGATTGTCCTTACATATGTTAGCTCGTCTTCTGATG